CTGTGAAGGTGAAGATGATGAGCTACCTGTGGGACATCAAGGTGGATGTAACAGTTGGTCTGGAAGTTAGAAGAAAATCTGCAATGGAGATAGAAAGTCGGTCTCTGCGGCACTGAACGAGCTTTCCTGGAGAGAGAGAGAGTGTGACAGAGAAGGGCAAAAGCAAAAGAACGCATAGGTCAGAGCCTGAGGATCATCCTCTAGTGATCAGGTAGAGGACAGAGACCTGGCAAAGGACAATGAGAAAGGAAAGTGAAGGAAACAACAAGAGCATAGCGGCATGGGAACCAAAGGAGAGAGCATTCAGGAGGGTGGCAGGGACCAACAGCGTCCAATGCTGCTGGTAAGAGGAAGAAAGATGAGGACCGAAGAGTGTGCTCTTTTAGTGAGGACTTGTAAATAATTGGTGACCTTAGTGGGGGCATCCAGTCATTCATTATTCAGTACACTTAAGTGACTGCTGTGTACTATATTCTAATCACACAATGATGACTGATTTAATGTGGTGGAGAGAAGAGTCAACTGGGAGTAAGAATTTTAATTCTTCAAGATGGAGAATTCTGGAAAACAAGTGAGTTGGAGGGGAAGCTCTGTCTGGAAGCATTACTATCCAATAAACATAAAGTACTAGTTTTTTTAGAAAATCCTCATAACTGGGAATGTGCACTAAGTTGAGTGGCGGCATTGCAATACTGTAGACGCACAGAATATAATTCTTTATGGACTAAGTTTAAATCAGAGAAAACAGGCCAAGGTGTTCATGAACATCAATAAAGCTTTATAACCATACAATTCATTACCATTGTTTGGATTAATATTGAATAATTACACACTTTTTACATTATGAAAATGTCATAAATAGTGTAAAAATAATTCTGAAGATCAACTTCTCACAAAGAACCCTGAAAACAAGTTAAAAAAGCAAATAAAAACATATTATAAACTGAACACAAGGCAAGTATCTCCAGACTTGGAGATCAAAACCCACACGCGTCTTCTGATTCCATGACGTCAGCTGGAGAAATTATAGTGAAACTGAATCAAGAAATCAAACAGGGAGAGTTCAATCTTTCAATTATTTACACTACTGAGAAAAACAGGTTTGTGCCATATTTACAGTGACAAGACACTACACATTCTTAGAATAATCAATTACATGAGACTGGCCCACAAAAACATTAAGAAAAATATGCAGTGTAATGCTTGCCAAAATATTTTTTGGCATTTTCCTCTTATTTTGTATTTATGTGATTTTTTGGCAATATAAAAATAGCTGCACATAGAGATGAACCTCAAAATGTAAAAAATACAAATAAAAATATAATATTTTCTAAAGGAAAATCAGATACATACATCTTTTAAAAATGTTATTAAGTTGCATGAAACATTTACAACAGTATAAAGAATATTCACCTAAATGTCAACAATATGTAAGACATTCTTTTGTGAATCAAATTTATTAATATTTCTGAGACGTGAGAATATCCACTGCATTTTGAGAAATGTTGATACTTTGTTAAATTACCAATAAATCAAACATAATAGGTAAGATTGAAAAAGTCTTCCTATTCCCAAAAGAACAGTTCTGTCAATAAGCAGCATAGAAAATCTTATACATTTAAAAAAAATCAGAAATGCCATTAAAATGTTTCAGTACTGGATTAGCAAAAACAAAATCCACTAAAAATTTAAGCTGGAAGGGTATCTCTGTCATCGCATATAGTAAATCTAGCCAATATGAAGATACTTCAACAAAAGTGAGAAAAAGTAGGGACTGAAGGTCCTTACATTCTAAAATAATTCAGCAGAATCATAATTGGTCAAGTATGTTAATTCCTCTAGGAATGAATGATTTCAACAGCCAAGATCACATGTGATTGTTCTTTATTATTATTTTTGAGAACATAAGATTAGGTTGATATAGACTTGACTTTCTAGAGATGGCAGGATTTTTATTTCTTTGTTTTGGTAGAAATTAGAAAAGTCAATTTTTGGTAATGTTAATTAATAATATAACTTGATTATCAAGAAATAGAGAAAAACAAGGTTTCAAATATCAGTATCAATAGGTATCAATATCTGCATGTTCCTATGATCACTCATTAGAAGATATTAAAACACCACCCACCAAACAAGCATAACTTATTTCTGGGTAAGATAAAATATAGTGGCAAAAAAAAAAAAAAAAAGGTTTCAAATATCAGTATCAATAGGTATCAATATCTGCATGTTCCTATGATCACTCATTAGAAGATATTAAAACACCACCCACCAAACAAGCATAACTTATTTCTGGGTAAGATAAAATATAGTGGCAAAAAAAAAAAAAAAAAAGGATGAAAAGTGGTGTTAACTTTTTATGCTACAACACTAACATTAAAGAAAAAAAAAAAACACCTTGGAAAATTAAGCACATTCACCAAGTGATAAAAATATAAGATACCAGACAATTTTCCATAGGTACTGACAGGCGGATTTGACCATTTTCCAAACTAGCAGATACATATATACATATAGTAGACAAAGGACACGTAGAATGAACTACTGGATGCGTAAGTTCTTACTGTGCCATCAGAACATCATGCACAGAAAGTAAATTCAAGAACAGACTTTTATTTTTGGTAGAAATTCAAGATATTCTAATTTTTTTTCTATAAAAACAAATAAGAAAGAAAAATCCTCCAAGAGTGCTTTCATAATGAAAATGAAAACTAGAAGAAAAATAAAGGCATATGTGTGTCAGGTACTCTATGAATCTGTGCAGACTTGTCTAATGCTGGTTTTGTCATGCTTAATCAAATTATATAAGCTAAAAAATGAGAATGAAAGTTTATAAAAGCATATGATAGATGCAATGAACATGAAATAAGAGGGTCCACGATCCAAGTAAATACACATCATCTACAGGTACACTGTTTTGTTTTGTTTTACATTAAGAAAGACTGGTCGTTGAACCATAATTATAGCAAATTCATGAAAATAAAATCACACACTAACAGTTTAGGAATGCTATTAAACAGAGAAATGAAATTATCCATAGTAGAGTTGCATTGTCCATAAAGAAAAAGAAAATAAATACATTAGCACCAACATGAATGCAAAACAATTTTAAAGCTAAAACACATGCCAATTTGGCATCCTTAAAAGATGGTTATCAGAAATAGAACCTGATCTTGCCTTGTTTCCAATGTGTCTTTCATGTATTTTTTCTCAATCTTCTATCTATCCAATAATATAAATTAAAAGAAAGAAACCTTTAAGAAAAATATGTATCTGCCAACACATATCAGCAGACATAATTCACTAGTTTATTCAGCAATTATTTGAGAATTCTCTGTAATATAGAGGACAAAATGGATGGCTGGACGCATCTTAGAAACTGAAAGTTTAAGATTACCTGTGGTGGTTAAGACCTAGTAATTCCACTGAACAAAGAGGAGTACCATCATCCCTTTGTTTTTCCCAAAGAAATAAATGTAACAGAAGTTTACAGCTTCCTTGAATCATCGAATAAAAGTCAATGTTCTCAAATCAGTTTTAGAGCAAACCCAATATACACATAGGACACAACAGTTTCCTTAAGGACTGTGTTCAAAAAAATGTGTTTTCTACATAAAATATTTCTCTTTGATGTTGAGGTATTCTCTTTTGAAGCTGTGCAAGTTTTAAACAGCAATCCATCTCAATACCTCTTTCTACTAGAGGAGTAGAAAGAAAGGCAGGTAGGAAGAAATATAGCCACCAGATTTTTCTCAAGACACTACTGTTTGTTTTCCTGAAGAGACTGTAGTTTTACCCGCGTTAGTTCACTTTTCCAAATCATTTAAGACAAATTGTTTCAGACATTGAACAATACCTTCTCCTAACCACGTCACACAATAAATGGTTAGAGAATGCCCTCTGTTGTTTTAAAAATGCTAAATTGGCTTCAGAGTGTGGAATGTTACTAGAAATGTTACCAATTAGATTGATCTAATAGTTTGAACATCTTTCCAATCTTGAAAACTTAATGTAAATAAAAAGGCATTTTGTATAACTGAGCATTTGGTTATATAATATGAAAGAGACCATAAGGATCTTAGGATCCTCATCTTATATCTTAACCTTTGTTACTATAAGCCAATGATGAGCTGATTTCTCCTCTGGTGGTGAAAACCTATGCATAAAACTAGGAAATTTCCCACAAAATAGCGTTAGTCAGGAGGGAAATTAAATTGTCCCATGAGCTGAAAGAGTGACTACTCCTCATTGATGATGTTCCTCCTAATGTAACCCTTCCACTTCAAATAAGCCATTTAAAAACATGCTACCTACTCTTTACTGGGCAAAGAAATGCTCAGTCTAATACAGTTAGGTAACTTTTGAGCAAGTAGACGAAAAAAATACTCTCTTTATGGCAACTATATTTCACAGCTTTCTGAGATCTCATATTTGGTCTGTGCATAAGACAAAATTTTAGAAATGTAAAAAAAAAGATAAAGAAATCTAAATATAGACAAATTAGATCTAAGTAGAACTACAAAAAATAGAAATGAATTAATACTATCAAATGTGACCAAATCTTGATTTTATCTTAACTGATAATCACTATGTATGTTATATTCATCATATGAAAAAAGTCAAAAAGTACTGAAAAAATTGCTTCACTTTGATGCTTTACAATGACTGAACTGAAAGTGGAGTTTGTTTTACATTCTCTTCCATTATTTGGAACAAGAGAGGCATTCATAAAAGGCCATCTTGACTGTTGGGAGCAAGTTATTAGGATTTGAAGACTTTTCTTTAAAAAAAATTGTTCAAAACAAATGTGACAAGAACTGAAACAAATCTTTTCTTAATACTCCTGGGACTAAAAAAGAAAAGTACTAAAAAGAATGGAAAATATCCTTCTGTTTCTAGAACATTGTAGAAGATGTTTGAAATGGGTTGGAAGGCAGGGAAGCTCTCACACCAGCTCCGGTAGAGACCATAGGGTGAGTTCTCCTCCATCTTCAGGAGACGTTATGTCAGCCGAGCCCATCTTGGGACTTGTTACTTCTTCAGCGACCTGAGCTTTGGTGGGATGTACACACCCTTTGTCCTCAGCAACAGAGGCTGCCATTCCAAGAATCTCCTACCCAAAGAAGTGCTATATGCCTCAGCCATTTTCCAAAAGCACCCCTGGTAACACTTGCTAGAATTCAGTTTATTAAAAAAAAACAAACAAGTCTGCTGTTCTGGGTGCCTGTGGTCATAAATCTCTTTCCTACTTGGTCACACGAGAGACAGCGCAGGATGCTGACCTGGTCCTCTTCCTTTGTCTTCACTGCCAAGGGCAGCCCAAGGAAAACTGGCGCCGGCAACCAGCTCAGCCCCTTGATGTTTCAACCAAGGTGGCCCCGTGAGCCACAAGACTGGGAGCTCAGATCTGCAGTCAGGGACTGCAACTCCCTCAAAATACAAGACCATTTGAGTGTGTGCTCTCCATCACCTTATCTCTTTTTGGCAATCAGCCATGGTGTCACCCCCTTGAGATGACAAAAGAAATAAAAGCTCAGATGTGATCAAAGGACTCATCAAGCAGCATGCTAGCATCTCAAGGTGTACAACCAGGAGCCAGTATGGCACACGGCATGCTTTTTAGTCAGTTTCAGTGGGTGGTGTGGGTGTCAATCAATGCTAACAGTGAAGGTGAGTAGGGATGTGATGACAGACTCTAAATCAGTCAGGCAAGCGAGTACATTTTCATGGTTTTGAGTCCGTATTTGGTCACAATTTCATGTAAACTACTTCATGGCACTTTTTGTCCATGCAATTAACAAGCCTAAAGTAAGAAAATAGCAAGAACAATCATTCTCTATCGCTGATACGTCCTTATCAATACACATCTTCACTTAAGATAAAGAGACACTGATCTATATTTTTTGCAGGCTCCTCACTGGTTTCACATATTGCCCAATTTCAGATGTAAGTGAAGAAAAGATGGACATATGTTCTACTGCAAACAGGAAGAAGCAGCTATATGTAAACATATCTCAGACTTGTAAAATCTGCAATTCGGTTTTCAACTATAAATATAAAAAGTGGACCATTATATACACAACTTCATGCTCAGAAGGTTAGATTCATCACTGCAGAAAAACAAACAACAAAAAACACACATATATAGAATTAGTGGTCTAAGATAAAAAATTCCAAATTAACATTTAAGAAAACTGGTAGAACCCTGAATAGTTTATTTTTTGGGGGGTGGGGGTTTGTTTGTTTTTCTATCAATGAGCCAATTGATATGTGTTCTATACATTTTCTAAAACTCCAAGGTGTCATCAAAATTTCCACCCTAAGGTCAACCCACATTTTTCTTTTGCCACTGAGAAGTTTGTGGTGTTTGTCTCAGTAACTATTCTGGGAAAGCAGAAAATTAGGATTTTATCACATCTGTGCCATAATGAAAACACATGTCCTGTTTATAACTGACATAATCTTCTCCAAGCATTAAAACACACTGTGGAAAAGGCTGTGGATTCTGACCTCAGTGACGCTGTTTGCACGGCCAACCCCTGGCTGTAACACTCCACTCGCCTTCAGTTCCTGCTTCCTCTTCCCTGTGGCCAGCCCTGCCCTGCCGTGGATGGTGTGCAAGGCAAACCTGCTGCCATCAGGTCTTCAAGCTGTATTACAGGTTCCATTGTGACCTAAGGCACCATAAATCTCTGGCTCCTCGTTTTGAGCAGCTATAATTATTAAGGTTTTCCTAGAACTGACGTTAAGTCTGAGAGAACTGAGGGACAATGGTCTTTGAGGGATAAACTTACAGAGCAGATCTTAGAGATGTTGACTTTTACTCAAAAAAAAAAAAAAAAAAAAAAAAACCCCAATGAGAAAAGTAGAATGACCTGTTCATTAATTAAAAACATTTGCTTTTCTCTCTCCAAGAAACATGGATGCTATTATTAGGTGAGCTTAAGAGGCCAGGTATCCTCTTAATCCAGGTAAGATTTTCGATCTTTAGAGATGTTTGCTCATTGTTTATGCAGGTCATGTCAATGCAGAGAATGATAGGAAGTATTCCTTTCTCCAAATGGAAGTAAGCATCTTGTTAGGCTAAATGGCCCCAGCCCCTCCACTGTGTGACTACTCGCTGCTCTGCACGTACTCTAAAAAAATTCACATGCTCTCTTGATTTATGGCCTCTGCTTATGTACGCACTCTCCAATAGCTTGTTAAATTAAAACTTTGTTCTATGAGTTTCTCTCCAGGAACAGGCTGACCACAGGCGGGAAACACACCTACAAGGTATCCATCACAGTGGACAGAAGAATGGAACAATGTGATGCCTGGAGCCCATCATGCCTGGCGACCAACATCCCTGGACCCCCTCCTCACTGCCCATTTTCCCTATATAACTGCCTCAAGAGTCTGTAATCCTTGAAGATGGTTTTTTTTAGACATTAGCCTGCCATCTTCCCAATTATGCTGGCTAATTGAATTAAAACTTCCTTTCTTGATCCCTAACTCATTGTGATTAATTGGCTCAGATCTTGGAGAGCAGAGCGAGCTCACTGTTCTGTATCACAAACTCGCACTTATCTCAAATTTCAAACAGGTGCATTTGTTGAGTACCAATGTTTTGCAAATAATCTACAGAATTTTAAATATTTGTCTTTTTTAGATTTTGAAACAATCTTAAAAATCTGTCACCTTTCTTTAGGAAGTTCTGCTGCAAACCTGTCAGCCTTACCTGGAAAAATAAAGTTTAGTGAAACATTAAAAAATATAAAGGCTATAGGTATTTTCCCTATTAATAGTTTTTAATCTTTGGATGAGGATGGATGATAACTTTAATGGCTTGTAAGTATTTTCTTAACCATAAATTCTGCCATTTCCTCACTGTATGAATTACACTGTGAACCAGTACATCATTATTCTTCCAAATTTAGAGAACTGAACTATGTCTAGAAAGAGAAGTGATTTAAACAAAGATCAAATAGCTTTGCATGAAAAAAATTTTTATTGAGAGAAGTATGACCAAGAGGACTCGTCCATTAAGCACAGTGATTTACACTGCGGCCACGACCTGAATTTTCAAACATTTCCCACTGTGCTCTGGAGGCTAACGCACACGACAATGTTCAGACGGGTGGTCCGTGTGAAGCAGGACTAACTAAAAGTAATCTACTAGCCTTCTTTCTAAAATATCATTTAAAAAATAATTTCATTTGACTAACACTGTATTTGAGACAGCTAAATTGACCACATAAGAGATTTTAGAACATTTCACTCTTCTAATTGTTTCTTTCTTCTCTTTTTTTTGAGGGGGTGCTGTTGGGAGAGGTTGACCACAACGATGTGCACCTGTGTGTGTTGGGGAGCATGGTGAGCAATACTGAAGTGTACCATTGAGTTATTATTCTTTGTATAAGATGCTAGAGTTAAAAGATCCTTAATCTTCCATAGAATATAGTGTCTATTCTGCGGAAAAATAAGTGCCTAAAAGGAAATTTCTGATTTTCTGATGCTGCTCTCATTACTACTAGGTTTGGCCATTTCAGGAATGATGAGTCCTTTGCTTGTTGCTGTTATTACTACATCCTCACAAAAAGAAAAGACCAAAAATGGTGTGAACCCGGGTTCTGAGAAGTGTCAGACGCTGGATAAAGGAAGCCTTTCCCATCTCCCTCTGTGCCAATGACTGTATTAAAAAGTCATTACAGTATTAGGTTCCAGGCCAAAGGTTACAGAGTAGATGGTAATTCCAGCTCAGGACAGTATGAACAATTCTGAGAAGAGGGGTGATGATGGTGAAAGGATAGTATTCTCAGGTGAAGGAGAACATGATGATTGGCTCGTCTTCCTGAGAACCACTTGACCTCAGATGAGATGGAGCTAATTAGCCGACAGGCTGAGAGTGGAGTAAGGGAAGCTGTAAATAAATGATGCCCCTGACAGGGAAGCCTTTTCTCTCCCAGGCCAAGTACTGCGAAAGGAGTTAAGTAAGAGAGCGAGGATCTCCTCACCAATGGGCTGACGAGACCAGAGGCAGCTACGGGCGTCCAGTTTCTCATCTTTCTGCGAGCCTATGTACTTTTGCCAATGAAGCATCCTGTCAAAAATGACTGGATAAGCCACAAGGTGTTAGAGAAAAATTCAAAATGATGACAGCAACGTATATACTTCACCCAGCTCATTTTTACACCGGAGGAACTCCTGTTTCCTTCAGTAGCACGTGCCAGTCCTTTATAATCAGGTTTGCACCATTAGTGTGTGAAGGTTAGGTCTTCTCTGACAGCACAGCGCATACAATCTGGTCCTTGCTTCAAGTTCCGCATTGCTCTCCACTGTCAACTTCTCCTGGTTCTGTGACACACTAGCTCTGCGTCCTTGAGTTCCTTAACCTCTCTGAATTTCAGTTTCCTCATCAGCATCAATGAGGATAATAATAGCCTATAGGGTTATTGTGAGATTAAACAAAATGATATCCCCTATATGAGAGGGCTTATCACACAGCCTTTGTACACAGAAGGTTCTGGGAAAGATAAGTTCCCTTCTGTACTGAACACAGACACAGGGCCCATGGGCAGCCATATGAAGAGGCTAGAAAAAATTGACATCATAAAGGATGCCAACTTAAATATAACCAGATTCTCCCAAATAAATCAAGACATCATTGAAGAAAAAAGGTCATGCTTACATTTTCTGCTCTCTCAGCTTTGTTACTAATATTGACAAGGTTCTACCATGTATTTGCGTATTTCTAAGTAATTGACTATAACTAGGGAAAGAATCACAAGTAAGAATACTTTTGAAGAGTAGGAGGACAAGGAGTTTATTGAGAGAGAAGCAAACTGTTATCAAGATGCGCTGACCCTTTCCATTCCAAAGAAAGCATTAGGTAGGGAAGGTTCCAAATGACACTGTTGGGAAGAACTGTTTTCAGCCATCAGTTTAGGAAGAAATCAGCAGTAAACATATTAATCGAAAGATATTCTGGAGAGGAAATCTGCTTTTTAATACCCAAATAACTTTCAGGAATGTCAAATTCAAAAGGTCTATTCTAAATGGAAAAGGCCAGGCCAGGTGAGGAGAAAGGGAGAGGGCTTCTTTTAGAAATAATTCCATAAAGCCTACCTTTTGCCAACAGCCAGGCATGGGTAATCCATCTGGCCCCTGGTTTAAAGAGAAGAATAAGAATTCCTTAGGCTCCACGAAAGTGATCATACTTCACAATTCACATGCTCAGAGGCTTAAAAAATGGACTTCTACCCACTAGATGGCTTTAGTCACAGGCATCTTTTTCTAATTATCAACTCCCAATAGAACACCCAATGTTAGTTAAAATGAAGAAAATTCAAATGTTTTCCAGAGCGAGCATGCCTTTGGAAAATACATAAAATATACAAAAAATTATGCCTAAGTTTGAAATAGTAATTTACAAAGCATTGTAGTCTACTCAGTTATACCTTTAGATAATAAATCTGTACTATTCCTCTTAATTTCATTAAAACACATTTCACAATTATCTTTATTAAATAAACTGAAATAACGTCTCTTCCTGGTCACTATGGTCTAGGGTTGAATGCATGATAATGATAAATAATAGATGATGAACCATTTCTATCTGAAGCTTATAGCTCTTCACATGCCAGTGTCCTTCATATTTCTATACTGAAAGCAGATACAGCAGAACATATTACATTAATTGAATTAAAAGATACACAGCTTCTCTATATCTCTATAGTAAAACATTACCCATAGCATTCATCAGTTTTCCTATTACAATTCTTCAGAAGCCAGTTAACAAATTCTGAAGAAATAAGAGATTCCTAAATGTTGTAAAATTTATTTTCTTTTAAAGTGAGCATTCTTCAGATACAAATGGTACAAAGAAAGCAGGAAGAGTAGGTATATTACGTGGCATGCTTGCATTTTCCCTCAACAAAACGATTGTAAAATATTATTTATTATCAATACCAAGCAAACAAAAGACTAGGAACTTAATATTGAGATTTTCTAATTGTAATTATTGACTGAATAAAAGTTTTTTCTACAAATACAATCTCTTAAAAGACTTGAGAAACATAAATTCATCTTTAAAGAATCATGCTTAGCACGGAAGAATAATATAAGAACATGCAGACCAAGTATAATCAACAACACAACCATAAAAAGTTTTCCTTTATATGAAATACATATGAAACATAAAATTTCCTTTATATGAAATGAAAATATGAATATACTTTCTTTTTAAATGTAAAAAAGAAAACACTTTGAAACAGCTTTATAAGATATCTGGGAAAAATTCGGTAATGCCAGATTGGTACAAGGAGAAGGATCACCCAGTAGAATTTTAGATTTTAGTATAAGGAGGATTTTGAGTTCATGCCAATGGAGATGGGGGGTTCTGTCTACTTCAGGAAAGTGAGTTTCAAAAGGAGAGACCATTAAATTGAGAGGGTTACGTGATACAGAAGAGGGTTTGGGCTGCAGACTATTACCATCTTTAGAAGCTCAGAGAAGTTGGATTTTCTTCCCTATGGTCTCTTAACGGCATTCCTCTGAATTGGTTGACTCTTGACCACAGAAGCTTAACTCTAGGTTTGGCCTAATTCACAGCCTGACAGAAATTTAGCGGAAGAGGCAAAACGCCTTTATACCTCTTAGAGAAAAATGTTTTAAAAGTTCAATTTAGGGGTAAAATCCAAAAGTTATGGCCTCGTTGTGCCTTTACATGGAAGATATTCATGTGATTTTAAAGTAATCTTTAAATATTTATCGAGTAAATTAATATTCCCCAGAATGTAGACACGGTGGTCGTGACAGTTGTGAGAACAAGGTCAGGAGATTAATTTGCAGGCGTTGGTAGAAATCCGTGCTTGCTCTCTTCAGTGCTGAGTTACTGAAGGAGCGTTCATGCACATGCATGTCGTGTGTTCATCACATAAAGCTTGCTCAGAAGCACCACTTTACAGTGATCGAGATGAGTACGTAATAAACAAAGGAACTGCATGCAGGATGGTAGGAAAGAGAAATACTGTACCAATTGGCAAGGGGCATCCAGCCCATCCAGGCCAGGCTGGCCTGGTTCCCCTTTTTCCCCCTTAACGCCACGGAATCCCTGTTTGTAAAGATTAACTCATAACGTTACTAACACAAGAAATCACTTAGGCACAAGTTCTGCTACAGAAATAACCACAATAACAGAAGGCTGGGAGAGGAGCAACTCTGGAGGGAAAAGGAACATGCAGTGAAGTTGGACAAAGTACAACAGAGCTTGACATATCCCATAATCAGGGCTTGTCTGGGGACGGCGACCTGCTCTTTTGAGCCACAGGGAACAGCGCAGAGTCCTCTCCCGCTCCTCCAGTCACGTTCCAGGTGCGCGTCAATCCTTGAGTGTTAAGAACCAGGCGGAGCAGTGGCCAGACAAGGTGTGGAACATACCAGGACAACCCAAGAGAGATATTTCTGGCATCTTCACGTCTAAGTGAAATGGCCCCAGTCAGAACCCCTGCTGCTGGGTCCCTCCAGCTTGCTCCTCTCCCAGCTCATCCCTTCACACGCGATCTACAGTCAGACGTACCAACGGGCAAGGCGCATCTAGTCCAGGGGCCCCCTGTTCGCCTTTCTCCCCTTTAGGCCCCTTTTTGCCTTTCTTTCCCTTTTCCCCCTGCGGATACAAGGGTTTAAATAAAAGACAGGTTTTATTTGGGGGGAAATAATGGTGATTCAAAAGGATGGTTTAGCCAATAAAAGTCTGGAAGGGCATTTACCACTGTTGTCTGGTTTAGGTAAGGCATGATATTATAAAAATAACTCATTTTCAGAGTGACAATGGATTTTGGGCAGCGATATATGGGATTTTATTTAAGATACTCAAGATCAAAGAAGGAGAGCTAAAAGACCGACACATCAGAAAGGAGGGTGAGTGCTGACTTAGACCCCAGGGCCAGAGTCCTGTGAATGCGGTGCTTCTGCCATGGATCTGCTGCGGATGATGGTACTAACTGCAACGAAGCTAGCCAGTGCTGGTGAAGTTCAGAGGAACAATGGATACTTCACCCAAATTTCAATACCTATGTACTTGCTTTTTTGTCTAATCCTATAACAGATGAAAGCTACAGTGAGCCAGAGGAAAAGGAAAGAATGTGAACAGCTTCTATCTTTTTGAAATGTATCCAATTTTATGACATTATTTTTTGTAGCTCTCATTAAAAAAATATTCACTGTATTCAAAATATGCTTCTAGGGGCCGGCCCGGTGGCGCAAGCGGTTAAGTGCGCGCGCTCCGCTGCGGCGGCCCGGGGTTCGCTGGTTCGGATCCCGGGCGCGCACCGACGC